TAAATACATTTGTGTTACAGTTTGCTAGCGCCGCCGACGGAGGTCCGACGGAGGTAGCAGGGTCTGCGGCAGCACATGATGCAGCTCTGCGGGAAGCATTCCTGTGTTGCATCGGAGGAGCGCCCGGATGGCCGGAGGCGTTAAGCGAGCGGCATGCCGAAGGCGTCAAACAGACTGCTGCAGGACTGCAGAGGTGATTTGCAGGGATCGCCGACGAGAGCTCACGCAGTTCAACTGTCAAAGGAGATCGAAAAGGTAACGGTAAGAGATTGATGATGGGTGACTCGTCTGCCGGACGTTGACACTTGCAGTACGCATCGCTGCGCACAAAACGCTTTCAAATTGGAGCCTTTCATCTGTGGCTCGCTGCGCGCAAAACGCTTGCGAATTGGATGGCTCGCTGCGCACAAATGCTTGCAAATTGGAGCCTTCATCTGTGGCTCGATGCGGACAAAACGATTGTGAATTGGATGGCTCGCTGCGCACGAAACGCTTGCAAATTGGAGCCCTCATTTGTGGCTCGCTGGCCCCGCGCCACGCTGGGCCGCTAGGCTCGAAATAAGTATAGCAAGATTCCCAGCAGTCTCATTTGTACAACTTCCTTCAAGGCACCCGGAGCTAAAGGTTCAAGTTCTACATAGGTGGGGTGGCGTGTCGCTGCCTTGCCTTTCTTATATGTGTTGCACGATTGAACGAATTTGCTTGAACTTTCGACGGATGCGGAAGTTTAGTGGCCGATGTGGGGCAAAGAGTGGGTGTCCGAAGAGCACACAACAGGAAAGCTGGAGCGGGTGGGCTGGGAATGTTTGCTGTTGTTTGCATGCTCGAAATGCAGTTGTCGGTCGAAGGACGCAACCCGCTGATCAGTGTCATGTCTGCTGCGCATCACTGTTTGCGGACTGTTGGTCAGCAACCGCTAAGGTCCACGGTTCCGGATTGTTTCTCACTGCTCTGCGCGCTGCAGACCACTATTTCGCCCGCTGCAGATCACTATTCTGCCGGCTACACATCACTATTTCGCCCGCTACAAATCACTATTCTACGGGCGACAGATCACTATTTCACCCGCTGCAGATCACTATTCTGCGGGATACGGATCACTATTTGCCCGCTACAGATCACTATTCTACGGGCGATAGATCACTATTTCGCCCGCTGCAGATCACTATTCTGCCGGATACAGATCACTATTTGCCCGCTACCGATCACTATTCTGCGGGCGACAGATCACTATTAATTATCCCAGATCACTTTCTAAGACTTACATGAATCACTGACAGATCACTTTCTAAATCACTAAATAATCATTTGCTTCTTTCCAACGGTTGCCTGCCAACCGGCGACCTACTACTACTACTACTACTACTACTACTACTACTACTACTACTATTACTACTACTACTGCTTCTACTACTACTACTACTACTACTACTACTACTACTACTACTACTACTACTACTACTACTACTACTACTATGTGGGTGACAAAAAACTACTAGTACTACTAGTACTACTACTACTACTACTACTACGACTTCTTCTTCTACTACTTCTACTACTACTGGACCTCCTGCTGCTGCTCAGCTGGGTCTTTGGGACTGGTGTCTGGCCTTAAGGGCGTTGTCTTCAGGTCTTGGTAGGTCTGTACGGTGTTCAGGGAAGATGGGGAAAGATTGGCTACCTGAGGTTGTCGAAGGTTGTGTCCGACGACCGTCAGCCCAGGTGACCGTCCTCTTCGTTCTCATCGACAACTTCAATGAATTCAGCTCCAGGCCGTCAATCTTCACATTGGTGTAGCAGCGCGCCGGATAGACCTGTCCATCCCCCACTCTCGCTCTGCATGTCTGAAGCAATGGGGAGGAGAGTGAGCGGTCTTATCTCAGTTGGATATTCTAATTTGTGGTCGAGCAAGCTTCCCGCCATGTCCGCCTCACGAAATCGTACAGCGATGTGCGCATTTTAGCTGCGACTCGTGTTCGCACTTTTCAACATACTTTCAACAGATCGTGCTACAGTCTACCGCCACAGCCACAGTCCCGAAGACATGTTGAGGTGGGGTTCTAACCCCCGCCACAGCGCAGTGCCTGTCCTGGAGTGCCAGTCTTGCTCCTCCCACCGTACAGCGAACATTTTGGGCTGATGGGGTCTTGGGAGCTTTAGAGGTGCTGCTTGGAGTGGCTCGTGGGAATCCAGGGTGTGGGGTGCCACCGTAGGTGCTCTTGAACTGTTTGCGGGCTACGCTGGCGGACTGCGATAGACTCTACTGCCACTACCACGGGATATATTCGTCTAGTATCGTGTACTACTTCTATTGCCTGTGCACAGGAAATCTCTAGTAGTGTAATTTCACTCATATGGGTGGTTGTCAAAATTAGGGTCCCTTTTTGGGTACCTATTATAATACGGCACCCAATATGTAGGGTACCCAAAAAGGGACCTTGACAACTCCCCATATTTTTAGAAGAAGAGCCTTGAAAGGAAACAGCCTGACGAGCTGCTGCAGTTTCTGAACGACTACTTCCGTGAGATGGCAAGCGCCCAAGGGCCTGGCTTTTTAAGAAGTTGGTACAGGGCTTCATAAGGCGTTTGGTGTGCCTTTCAAGAAAAGGTTTAGGGTTTACGGTATGGGGTTTGGGGCTTGGCTTACGGTTGATGAAGAATTTGAGGGTTTCGGCGTTTGGTGGCAGGTTGCTTGTTCAAGGGCGGAGGCTCGAAAGACTTATCGCACCGAGAGCTGTATCAAGTGAGAAGAAGGGTTAGATCAACGTCCGATCAAACCGAGCGATGCTTTGGACCCCGAACCCGAACCTGCAGTATCCTGCAGTATGTCTTCTACCGATTCGAGGATGACCGAAAAGCAGGCTCAACACCAAGATGGATGTTTCTGCCATGATTGATGCGTGGAGGCTATCCTTGGACGGGTAGTTGACCCGCTTCCTGAAGGCATGTTCAGAACATCGAGACGAGATGTCTTCATAGCTGCGGCTGCTGGTGTGGGACGAGGATGGTGCCGGTGATGGTGCTAATCCCAGTGCAGAGTCAATCAGTTATTCAGTGGGTCAGTCGTGGGAATCACAACACTACTAATTAAGCTCAATGCAGATGGTGAATGTAATGGCAGCCATGCAAAAGATGGCAGCAATGGTGATGGAGATGATGCTCCTGGTCGTGATGTCGATGTCGATGTTAGCTACACTGCCCAGGTAGGTGGCATGTTTATCATCAGCATCAGAGCCACCACGAGCACCATCAACATCAGAAGTAGCCATGCCACCATCGCGACGAGCATCGTCGTCTTCTGTGTCGTCGCGCGGGATGGCCTTCGCGTTTACAGCATTGTAGCGATGGTTATGACGATGATGATGATGGTGGTGATGTTGACCGCCACGACCACCAGCACCAGCATCACATCTATCATCAGATTTTTTGGAACCATCAGAACCATCATCATCACCATCACTGCCATCTTCGTCATCACTGTCCAAAGACGTTCAATTCTTCATGTACGTCCTCGTTGCATCTTCGTCAATGTTGTTTTGAGTCTAAACCCTAAACCCCTCAACCCTAAACCCTAAGCCCTTAAACCCCTAAACCCCTAAACCATATAGGTCACGAGGTCTCGGTCTGCTTCGGGTGCCCAGGACGACATCTGCAGGAAGCACAAGGTGACGAAGATAGAGACCGTCGCCGAAGAGTATGTCGCCTGTGTCGGTGCCTGGTCGTGCAGAGCAGGGGCAGCTCATGAAGACCACGGTTCTGAATAGTGGTAGGACCTACAGAGTCGTGGGATTCTCGATAGTAAAGCAAGCCCTCATGCCCCGCAAGTTTGTGCGGCATTTCGAGACATGTGCAGACCCTTCACCACGCAAGATCCCCGTTTCGGGCGCAAGACGCGTAGCCCTGGACATGCAACACGGAGCCTGAGAATCGCCATACCTCGGCGACCTCCTACTGCTGCGGCTATCTGCTACTGCTACTAGGTACCTTAGTCGCGAAGAGGAGGACGACGACGTCTACGACGACGACGACGATAGCGATCACGACTACCATTGTGACGACGACGGCGGCGCTTCCGACGGTTACATAGTTCTTTCTTAATTTGTAGTATCAGTTTCGTGTAATAGTTTGTCGTGCTAGCTTAGAAATTGACGGGCCCCGGACGGTAGGAGTCTGAGCCTCGGCTTTCGTAAGTTGGCGCCTTTGGCGTCCGAGGCGTGACGCCCTCGGATCAGGAGACCATGGGCTTTGGGGCCTTAGGGCTTTAGGGTTTAGGGTTTAGGATTTAGGGCCGGAGGGCTTCGGGTTCAAGAGTGCTTGGGTTTATGTTCTTCCCGGGCACTGACATTGCCAGTGGGTTTTGAGTTTCTTGTGAATGCAATCCATGCGAAGCCACAGGCCGTAAGTATCATCCATGTGCTGCTACGGCGGCATAGGAGCTCGATGCAAATCCCAGTCTCAAGCCCCGAGCCACATAGTGAAGACCGGCCAGACCGCAGTTCGAAGGAGGTGAACAACGACCCGGGACGTGGCCACTCTGTTTTGCTAGACGGCTTGCTGAAGGCAAGGAGCTCGACGCAAGTGGGTTGCTTGGCCTTTGGGGTTAATTACTCGGGTTCTCGACATGGGTTCTTGAATTTGAAGAGCTGGAAGAAGAATTTGAAGAGCTGGAAGAACAAACCGCGACACAACAAACACACTGGAAGTGCTGATGCTTAAAATATATTGAGCTTGTACAGCCATGTTCTCACGTTCACCCCGCCACCACCGCCACCAACAACCGCAACAACACCACTCCCCCAGGACGACAACGATGACGATGATATCGAAAACGAAGATATCGACGACGACGAGGATGATGATGATTGTTTTTACAGTATTCATACTTATGTCACAGTCATTACCTACGCTACTGTCGTTGGCTCAAGTACAAAAAGGATTGCGTGCTTTCCGCTGTTAACAATAGGTTATCAGCCGTAGCTTGTATAGCTCTTCGTAGTGCAATGGACACCACAGCTCCAACAAATCCTGCAGGTGTGCCTATCTCCGAACTAGGTGATGACGACACGGAGTCCGCCCGCTCGAGATCGAATCTGGGCGCAGAGCTTCCGGTTGTCACCGCCCGGGAGGGTCGGGTAGCTCTCACTGAGCAGACGCTTCGTTCACATGTTGGGTCCCTCGGACCTCAACCAGCATACGTACCGTCACGAGCGTCGCTGACACATCAGCCCTCACCCACAGTCGTAGGCTATTCTCCGGTGCCTCCAACGCACACCTCCGTCCCAACTGTTGTGAATCAGTTGTATCAGCATCAGCAAAGTGTTCTGATCAGTGCGGATCCGGCACTGATAATGGACACAGCAAATGCCAGACATGCTGAAGCCGTTCGTCACATCCAAAGCGAAAACAGGGAGCAGATGCTTGCTTTGGAAACAGGTGCCATGAGTCAAGTCGCTCAGCTGAGGCTTGAGCATGCTCAGTTACAATCAAAAGCCAGAGCCTTTGAAGAACAGGCTAATCAAAACCTCCATGCTGGTCGGCAGGCCGTAGCCCAATACCAGATTGAGGCTGAAGCAGCTGCTGCTGAAGCTGAACAGCTAAGGCAGCGCCTCTTGTCCGCTGAACAGACAGCAGCGAATGTTGTCGCCCAGGTGGAAACCGAGGCTAATCGCAGGCTGCAGGCTAATCAAGCCGACGTGTCAGCTCGTGACAACGAGCTCTCTCGCCTTAAAGGTGAGATGCAAGAGATGATGAGGATTCAAGCCCTCAACATGGAGATGCTGCAAAAGGACAATGCCGAGCTAAGAACACGCTTGGCGGAAGCCAAAGCTGACCCATTGGGCAATGAACCGGAACAGGCCGGGCCTCCTGGTCTAGGACCCTTTCCGATCCATACTCCTCCTGGCGAACCACATGAAGCGCCTGAAAAGAGCGGTAAGAAGGAGAAAAAGAGCAAGAAATCCAAAAAGCACAAGAAAGATGATTCGTCAGATTCATCGTCTTCTTCCATCGACAACAAGATCCTTCTCAAGATGCTTAAGAAGATGGTGAAATCTAAGAAGTCTGACAAAGAGGATGATGATGAAGAGAAGGGTTCCTCGAGTACCAAACCCAAGGTCAAAGAGGCTGAGAAGGTCGTGTTTCCCAAGTTTCCCCAGCCTGAGCAGTACCGAAACTGGCGCATTAGGGTCCGTGAAGCCATTGTCGCCGCATCGGATTCGCCTGACAAGGCGCACGCCTGGCTCAGTAAGGTCTGGGAGAAGGACGCCGACGAGAAGGAGCTTCGCGACCCGGAGGGGTTTAGCACTTTGGATGCCAAGATCCTTTCTGGGCTCACCAATATCCTTGAGGGTGATTTCGCTAGACAGACTGATACCTTCAAGGAAACCGAAGCTCACGCCGGAAGGCCGGTGAGAGGAAGACAGTTATTGTGTCGTCTTCACAACCACTTGCTACCAATGCACTCCATGGTTCGGTGTATGACATGGAGGACCTGATGAATTGCATCATGGTCAACGAAAACCTCACCACCTTCATTAGAAACTGGGATACGGTGCTTTCTGGGATTCCCAATCCTCCAGACAACAGCGTGCTTGAACCCCTGTTCCATAGACAGGTGAAGAAGTGCAAGGACATCGATCACGACATCCAGGTCTATGAACGCGCACTGGAAGGTAGCGAGCAAAGGTCCTATCAGTTCCTGTATAACGCGGTTGCTAATCATCTGAAACGCAAACGATTGCAGAAGAACCGCGAGCGCATTGCTCGGCAAACAGGTGTACCTACTACGCCTGCTGCCGCACCGGCCCCCAAGCGTATTCCCAAAGGGTATTGCGTTGATTGGGTCAAGAGCGGAAGTTGTAAGAGAGACAACTGCCCGTACAAGCACCAACAGCCTAGGGGGCGTTCTCACACTCCTGCCGGAGGTCGTACGCCTACTAGGACCCCTAGCCCGGGAGGGAAAGGTAAAGGCAAAAGGCAGGAATGCAAATTCTTCAAGCAAGGGGTTTGCAATCGTGGAGATAAGTGTAACTTCCTCCACAACGGCCAACCTGCCGCAGCCGCCCCGGGCAGCTCAGGTGCACGAGCGAGCAGCAGCGAGAAGAAGGAAAAGAAGCACAAGAAGAAAGAGAAGAAAAGTGGCAAGGGCCGTAAAGGCTCCAGATCTAGCTCCAAGAGCTCTTCAAAGAGCGGCAGCCGAAAATCAAGTAAGTCTAGCCAAGGCTCGAAGGGTTCGCGTGGCTCAGGTCGTAAGGGTGGTGCGCCCTCCGTTCCCGCTGCAGTTTGCTTATTGGGAGCAATGTTGGCTGGCTCAGCAGCCCAAGCCGATGCATTCACATTCCGGAAGGATATGTTGAGCAATGCCGACGTTTGCACCCCGCACTATCATGTCGCACTGGCCGCAGTGTCATTCAATGACACTACTGAAAGTTTCACATACCAGATTCCAAAAGGTAATGGCCTCTACCCCCTCGATGATCGCAATAAGCCAAGGGAGTATAGCCAAGTGTATCCCGCCAACAGCCATTGGAAAGCCGAGCCTGATTCCTTGAGGGAAGCTCAGGTAACCGCTAAGATGTTGCAAGCTGTTTTCAGTGATGAGATCAAGGGCTGTAGACCGCAGTGCAAGTTCAAGTGCAACACCGAGTTTGGATGTAAACATTGCATTCCGAATGGTTTGAAGTTCAACTGTGCTGCACCTGCCAGCAGCAAGTCGCCGTGTTTGTGCATTGAATGGATTGCTGACACTGGCAGTGCACAAGATCTCATCGCCCAGCGGGAGCTTGGGCAGGCGAAGGCTTACGAGTCACCTGCGCCCATTCAGATGATGACTGCAAATGGGCCAAACTCCGCTTCAGAACAGTGTGATGTTTCTGTTGATTCCATTGGGATTGAGGTCAAACCATATGTTCTTCCTGACACCCCATCTGTCCTTTCAACAGGACAACGATGCATGGAAGAGGGATTCGATTTCATCTGGAGGGCTAATTCACGACCGTACCTTAAGACTCCCGAAGGGAAGAAGGTCTATATGGACGTTAAAGATAACGTGCCATACTTGAAGTCCTGGCATGAGAACATCAGCGTCCCTGCGCGTCGGGCCTCGTCCGGTCCTAGTAAGACGCAGATCATTGAAAGCCCCTCCGCGGTCGGAAGGCCAGCGCCGGAAGAGTCATCCGAGGCTATCGCAAAGAAGCTTCGAGAGTCTGGCGACTTCTCACATGCATCATGTTACTCCTTGTTAAACAAGGTATCTTTCAAGGCCTCCAAGAAGCAGAGGTCTATCATCGCCAAGGATCCAAAGTCTTCTAAGAAGAAGTCTGAGTATGTTGTGCTTGGAGCCTTCTCGCATGGCGGGACGCAAGGCATCACTAGCCGCAGTCACCAAAACAAGGAGCTGATGAAGTTCCTCAATGAGTATCTGAAACATCATGGTGCTAAAGGCCCCAGCTCTTCGCTGTGCATCAATCACGGGTCTAGCGTCAAGGTGCATAAAGATGCTCACAACCACCGTGAACATAAGAACAACACTATGTGTTTGGGTGACTTCGAGGGAGGCGAACTTTGGATTCATGATGAAGAAAGCAGCAGGGAGAACAAAGACTATGCTTCTGTTCGCATGCCTGACGGCAGTAAGCTGAAAGGCAAAGTTCACAAGACCAAACATCGTATGCTTACGTTTGATCCCAAGACGTACCACTGTGTCCGTCCCTGGAAGGGTGACAGATGGAGCATCACATCGTATGTGAATCGTGCTGTGCACAAGCTTGACGCTACGCAGCTTGCGAGACTCAAAGAGTATGGTTTCAACGTGCCATCTAAGGTCTCAGCTCCGTCTTTGATCGAACCCGGTGATGAGGAAACTTCCCTGTATGACCTTGTTGCCGGAACACCTCCAGTTGAGAAAGGGGTCGAGTTACGTGCGAAACCCAAGGTCAAGACTAAGGGTAAGCCTGAAAAAGAAAAGAAAATTGAACCACCCAAAGAACCTGATCCTCCATCTACCTCGAAAGGAAGTGGTCATGATGACGAAGATGACATGGATTACCTCGGTCGTATCCTTGAGGAGGAAGGTTCTGATCTGGAAGAGATGCCTAAGGATGATCCGGGTGCAGCTCGCGCTTCTGACGGAGCAGCTGTCGCCCCAGATGGGGATTCCGAAGGCGATGGGAAGAAGAGAAAACGGGGTATAGAAGTCCTGAAAGCTGAAGCCAAGTCGCTGCATCATATGATGTCGCATCAGCCGAAGAATCCGTTCTGTGATATTTGTCAAAGGGCTAAGATGTACAAACCTCCTTCATATGCGACTGGAGGGGTGCGTACTATTGAAGCCAAAGACTTTGGTGACCATGTTACAGCAGACCACATTGTGCTCTATCGGGACAAGGACACCATCATAGAGGACTCCCGGCTGGCGCTGGTGATTAAGGACGTTGCAACAGGTTTTTGCTATGCCTACCCCTCAGCTCTCAAGTCAGCTGAAGAATGCACCGTTGCACTTCAGCACTTCACGTCTCCAAAGGATGAAGTGAAGAACTTCTACAGTGATCGCGCTCCAGAACTCAAGACCGCCGCAAAAACTATGAAGTGGCGTCATGAGAAGTCTAAGGCCTACTTGCATCAGTCAAATGCAATTGCCGAAAGGCAAGTCCGGTCTGTGACCGAAGGCACTCGAACCAACCTTCTGCAGGCTGGCGTCTCGCATGTGTATTGGCCATATGCGTTGGAGCACTCGTGCACTGCATTCAACATCAGCCATGTGCATGAGGCGAAATACACGCCCTGGTTCAAAAGATTCGGTGATAAGTTCCCGGGAGAGCTTATTCCGTTTGGGTGTAGAATCGATTACTGGGTTGGTCCCAAACCTACTCGCAAGAACCGAGAACGTTTCGCTCCTACCTCCGAACCTGGTGTTTTCCTTGGTTATAGGTTTCAACCTGGGATGAAATGGCGCAAAGAAATCGTGGTGTTACCTTTGAAGGAACTGAACCGTAACGATTTTCGAGTGCCTGACTCCCATCAGTGCCTACCAATTCAAGGTTCCGGGGGGAGACTTCACGTTTCCTATGAAGGAGAGGTACGAGCGCATTCAGGCCGGATTCTCGTCCGAGGCCGTTGAGGGCCCTGTGTCCCAATCTCTCGAAAACCAGGATGCCGAAGCACAGGATGAGCAAGTCGGCGATGATGCCGCTCCTCCTATCGCTGACCTGGCGGTCAAGCCCCCTGAAGTCATCGATCCCAAAACTGGCAAGATTGTCCCTTTGCCGGAAGGTGAAAGGTTCTATGATGCAGGTGGCGTTATTGGCCGAAGATACGGGGGGACGAGGGGATCCAAGAAACCTGATTCCATACCTAGTTCCATCTGGGTTAACTTGTCCAAGAGACAGAAAGAGAAAGCCATTGATGATGAAGCACGAAAGGTTGCTCTTGCCGAGCTGGATGAAGAAGTTGGCGGCTCAGCAAGTAGTAGTGCTAAGCCTTCTGCCGCCGCATTGCCTGATAAAGACTGTTGGAAAATAGAGGGGAACAAGCTCACTAGGTTCCACTTTGTCCCTAGAAGAGAGCTCTTCTCACCTGATCTCACCGATTGTCCGGTTGACCTTAAGCAAATTGGCAAGGTCCGCAACTCGGTTATCTTCCCAGTCGGTGGCGTTGATGTCGTCAACGATCAGGACGAATGGCGCAACGTTCGGAGGCGTAATAAGAAAACATCGTTCAAGTGGATCGGTAAAACCGAGTTTACAATCACCCCACAAGTTCCTGCGCCGGTGGGCAGAAAGGAGGTTCTTAGCAATCCCAAGGCCCAAGCTGCGTTAGATGTTGAGTGGAACAAGCTCATGCAGAAGAAGGCTTGGGACATGGCTTCTGTTCGAGAATGGGAAGAGGTTTCTAAAGAAGCTAAGAAGAAGGGTAAGAAGGCCCATGTGGGGAAGGTGTTCGAAATTTGCGTGGAAAAGGGAAGTGAATTGCCTGCTAATGATCCTTTGAGGAAGTTCAAGGGAAGGACGGTTTTTCAGGGTAATAATGTGCGCGATGAAAACTCCGATTCCGCACTTTTCTCTGAGTTGGGGTCCAGCCCCGCAGCCATGGAAGCAGGAAAGGCACTTGACGCCTATGGTCACACTCCTGGAAATGAGTGTCAACAGGCCGATGGGAAACAGGCCTACACCCAAACTACCTTGAAGGGTGCTGACACTTGGGTTCGTCTTCCCAGAGATAGATGGCCTAAGGAGTGGATTGGCAAATACAAGGATCCTGTTGTCCGCCTTCACCTTGCACTGTATGGCCACCCTGACAGTGGAGGCTTCTGGGAGCAGCATTGCGAGCGCATGCTGAAGCAGGTAGGGTCCCAGCTTGTGTTTTCAGCAGCATGGCCCTCAGTGTTCTTTCATCCTAAGTTGAAGCTGCTTCTCGCCGTTTATGTTGATGATTTCAAGATGGCGGGTCCCAAACAGAACATGGCCCGTGGATGGGAACTTATTGGGTCTAAGATCGATATGGATACGCCTACCCCGGTCGGAAGATATCTGGGTTGTGATCACATCACCAACACTTCCACCCTCAGGAAGGCCGACCATCCTTTCGCTCACGTCTTTGACAAGACCGTTCCCGATCCGGCGGCGAAGCCTGCTAGTGTTGCAGCTAAAGAAGATTACACTGAATCGTTCCCCGAAGAAGGTGTTATGGTTCGACATCATTGTCAACCTCGCAAAGCTCTTTATCAACCCCGCGAAGCGGAAGCTTCAGCTTATGGTCTGGGGCATCACAGGTGTACCCATCTCACTGATGTTGGGAAACCCGATGTCGTTCACGAATTGTGGGATGATAACGGTAACCGCGCAAAGCGGGGGGAGCTGTGGACAGGTACCACTTACATTTGTTCTGGTTCCCATGATCGCGCCAGTGCTATGGCCGCTGTGCAACGCGTCAGGGATAAGAATGAAGCCAAGAAAGAAGCTAAGAAGCAAGCATTCTATGATATCAACCATTGGGTGATAATCAAGGTTGCATGTACAAGAAAGTTCGTGAGGTCATCTATGACATGTCGTCCTTTCTGCAACAAGCCATAGACAAGTACAAGCAGCTTGCTGGCCCTGAGTACCATAACCTCAAGAAGGTCAGCACACCCTTTTACGATGATAAAATCGCTCGCCCAGTGGAAACTGAGGCTGAAGTGAAAGGCAAGCTGGCTCCTATCGCCAGTCGAGTCCTCATGAAGTTGCTCTTTGCCGCAAGAATGGCCAGGTACGATTTGCTTCGAGCCGTTCAGGGGTTGGCTAGTAGGGTCACCAAGTGGTCTTCCGACTGTGATAAAGCTTTGCATAGGCTTATGTGCTACGTGAACAGCACCAAGCATTACACCATGAAGTGTTTCATAGGAGATAAGCCTTCTGAATGCAAGCTTTGGTTGTTTGCCGACAGCGACCATGCTGGTGAGCACGACAACAAATCTACGTCCGGAGGAATCCTGGTACTTGTTGGTCCAAACACCTACTACCCTCTTGCTGCATTTAGCAAGAAACAAACAAGCACTGCACTCAGTTCCACTGAAGCCGAGGTTGTGTGTGCTAACGTTGCATTGAGAGCCTTAGGCCTTCCTTCATCCGCACTTTGGAGTGTGCTCCTGAACGCGGGGGGGGATACTGCAACGAAATCGCCCACTCCTCTGACGAGAGAGTCCAAACCTTTTGTTCCTAAAACCATTCCCTTGCCCGAGTTGGGAAAGATCACTGTCACCGGTCTTCAAGAGCTTGACGATGGACGAGTGCTAGATGTGTACAACAAGATTAAGGTGATTCCACCACCCGAAAATCTCACTTCGCACCCCATTCGTAACGTTTGGCTTCTTGAGAAAGGTAAGTGGTTTGCGTACCAATCAGATGTTGCTTGGGAAGAAAGGGACATGCTTGATGAGATCCTTGAAAAGGAATATGAAGCATGCATCTGCGTGTACCGTAGATCAGTCAGGGACTATCGCCGCCATGCGGAAGCAGAGGCATACCTGCATCGTGAGATTGATGGCATCAGGAACACGGGGGGTGGCTATGACAATGCACCCACAAGGAATGATACCGATATAGGGTTGATCGTGTCGGTCCCTCACTCTGTCCAGCCTGTTGTTCTTGAAGATAACCAGGCCACGGTTCGCATTCTTGAGTCAGGTAAGTCTCCCGCTTTTAGGCATGCTGATAAGACCCAACGCCTCAATCTAGGCTGGATCTCAGAGCAGTTCAAACGAAAGCATTATGAACTTGCTTATATCAACACCTTGCTTCAAGCTGCGGATGTCCTTACAAAACCGTTCACTAGTGCTGAGAAGTGGAATAGAGCACTGCAGTTGATGTGTGTGGCACCGCACAAGCTGCCTGCAAGGAAATCGGCAGCGGCCACCAGCGATTCGATCGCCCGGCAGACGCCGAGGCCCGAAGCCGCATACAAAAGGATTGTGTTCGTTGTGGATTGTTCGCAGGGAACGCATTCTGCTTGTGACGTTGATATAAGGTATAGCCCTGATACAAAGGTTGTTAAGATCAGAAATTCTAGTGAGCTTGATCCTCCTGAAACTAGGAAGGCAATCATCCAGTTAGCCCGGGATTACCACAGGGCTGGCGCCTCTGTACTTCTTTGGTTCCATCAACGGAATCCGGGGGGTACAGACAAGGATCAGGACGAGCTCAATAACATCATGTTCTCCAAGACTTGGGCTTCATTTGTTGACATCGCCGATGCTCTTAAGAAGTACAAAGCGAGGTTCATCATTACGTGGCCCAGGGACAGCGTGTTCTGGGGATGGCAGCGTGTCAAGAGGGTAATTGATGGCTATGGTTTTAGCAAAACTCACCTTAAGCCGATGGTTGAAGTTGCTGACTTTAAGCCTGAAGTCATTGCCCATTACACGTTAGCCTCCAACACGAAGAGTCTTGTTGAATTCTTGAGACGAGGATTGAAGGTTAGTGCCAAGAAATCAGAGTCCCAACACTACTTCAAAGGCACCCTTACTGCGATCCTCAGTCGTGTTTTTGATGATCATGAATCCCACAAATCAGAGAGAAATCAGACTCACGTTGTAGCTGTTGCGCTCAAGATTCAAGCATCCCCAACATCCTCTCTTTCGCTCCTTCCCATTGCGAACATGTCCTCTGCCCAGAGCACCCGTGACGCTCTTGCACAGGGAACCGCAGCCCGGGAGGGTGTGCAGACTGCTGAGGAGTTGCAGTATGCAGCGGCAGATCGTGAGGAACGCATTCAGGCGTATCGTGCCGCACTCAAGAGTGCCGATCGCCTGGCTGACGCCATGGTCGGAATCACCCACCTTGCTCGGCACACCGACCTTGCTGAGGTGTTTGATGAACCCGGGGCTGACGCCGACGGTGATGAAATGTTCCTTGGGATCATGACGGTGAAGGAATGGCGCGACATGCGTGTGCATGCGCCGAATGCGCCCTGGACTGCACTGTACGAAGCCTGGTTCCGTCACTATGCTTGCCGCCAGGGCAACCTGTACATGCAGGACCAACGCAACACCTCCCTGACGGGATGGTCAGCCCTCATCCTTCAGCACATTAAGGATTTGGGTATCCTCGGATGGGGTGTTAACTTCGAGAATGCCATCAATAAGACGGCAATGTATGACATTTGCCATAGGGTCCACATTCTTTCAGAGGGTAGCGGTACCTTCCCACTGTTTCCTGCGAGCTCAGCTCTCTTGGACGGGCTCTACAGCCCAGCCTTGGGCAGGATTTCCGCGCCCCCCACGGCGGAAGCCGGTGGTTTCGGCGGCACCGACATTCTTGTGGCCGGGGACTCATCCTTGGCATTGTGCTGGATGCAAGGAAAACGGTGTGTGAAGAAAACCACTATCTTCCCGATGATGCAGGACATAGTCCGCGCGAACCCAGAGTTCGGGGAAGTCACATGCCTGATGGAGTGGGGCAAAGGTCTCGACAAGATCATCGATGTGATCGAGACTCACCTTGCCTCCGCTCCCCCGGAAGGGGTAGAGCTTGTGGTTTCCTGGGCCGGCAACGATGTGTATGGTAACTATGGTTACCTTGGCTACACTTGGCACTTGACGAGCCAGTGGGTCAAGAGGCCGCAGCGTGAGCTGGACGAGATCGAGCATTGGCCCGCGAAACAGCGGCTGATGGTCGAGAAGAGCGTCCGCCGTCTCATCGAGCTGCGGAAGCACACTCGTGTCAGAGGCCTGACGGTTCTCTTGGGAGATGACAACGGTCGTTTTTACAACCTGCCCAGCGAGTATGATGATGAAATGGGCAAGTACGCCCGGCAGTTGCAGAGCGCAGGCATTAGCGTCGTTGATCCATCAAGCCTCCTGATGAGGACCACACGTCCCGACGGGTTCCACATCGAGGTCACTGACCCGAATGTGACTGCATCCTTGCAGTGGTGGCATGCTCTCATCAGAGCCATTTCCACCGACCGAATCATCACTCGCCGGAAGGCTGAGTTCGTCGCCAATCAGAGAAGTATTGTGTTCCGCAATCACTTCGAGCTTGGGAAGGCCGAGAAGACGCTCACGGTGCCGCCTGCAAGCCAGCGCATCCTTGAGCCGTTGGACCGCGCGCCCGAGCTCCCGGCGGAAGCCAGGGAAGAGGATGAGCAGATCGTTCTCGATCACCCTCTTCTGATGATGATGCCTGAGCCGGTCGATGATCTTGATCTCAAGCCGGAAGGCTCTGAAGAGGTGACCCAGGTTGAACACGTACTATTCAGCCGTGATCTCGGGTCAGAGCTGCCCCTCGACCTTGTCGCCATCTGAGGCGCAAGAGGACTTTGCCTTTACGGTGGCACGTGATGTCATCAACACCACAAATGTGCTTATCCCTGACGGTGATGCCATTGAGAAGGAGGCCACTGACGGCATCCCCACGGTGTGGGACGAACCCCCTGAGGTTCCGGCATCGGAAGATGACCGCAGACTCCCGAAAGGCACAGTCAGGTATTCGCAGGCCCTTCGCAAAGTCGGGTCGACGCCCAAGTCGAAACCCGATCCTGCCAAGCACAGGAGAATCTCGGAGCCAGTCGAGACCGACGACGAAGAGGATGTCGTTATGGACCTGGATCCTGATGACATCGCTCAGCCGTCGGAAGACGCTGCTGTTGACTTCGAGCCATTCTTCGAATGGTGGGGCTATGAAGACATCCCCGATTTTGCCCCAAGCCATCGCTACATGACAGATGGCAAGCGGCGGGCATTGAGCAATGCCATGAGCTTTTTCCTTCGCGGCTTCGCGAATAGTGCAGAGTCACAGGCGCAGAGGCGGCCACCGCCCATGATGACCTTCGACCCCGCAACACGGGAGGTCGAATGGGACCACTTCAAAGAACAGTTGGGCAAACAGTGGCGCGGTCTCCGGTCGGAAGACGTCATGGAAGTGGTTAAGTATGGGAACCACGACAAAGATGACAATGGACGCTTTGAATTGCGCGTCCTTCACTTCATCGACCACACTGAGATTCATGGAATCCGTGCATTCCAAGGGCACTGCCGCGATCTCATCTCTGACGAGACTGATCTTGTGGATATGCACAGTGACAGCTATGCTTTGTGTGACGACTACAGGCCCACCATGCATACGCGTCCTCCCGTGGGAGTCACTGGCCAAATCCACAACGACTGGGTCAGAATGCATCCGATCGGGTACCATGCGACCTACTGGAGCAATTTCTCCAATATCGTAAGTACCGGTCTCATCCCAGGCGGTGTCACCCTCGGCGGAAGCACGGGGAGAGCCTTCACCATGATGGCTTGCCTCCCTCAGTGGGAAAGGCCGAACAACGCAGGCCTGCGACCTGGCGCTGAGGTTGAATTCGCTATCGACCTTCAACTCGCGTGCCTGGAAGGGTGTCGCATTCTCCTGACAAAGAACAATGTTCTGCAGACCCCCGATTGGTTGTCCAATCGCTACCTTATGTTTGCTTACGATCGCAGAACCGGGAAACCCGTATGGTTTAACCGCTCGTACGAGCTCACGCGAGCTCGAGTGTCCAAAGCCCGTGATGCATACGTCAAGCGTCAGGAGATCCTGCCGGTCTTCAACCAAGACCTCATCGAACGCGCAGCGGAAGCTGACGCCAATTGCATCATGGATTACGTTGATCTCTGTTACCCGATCCACAATGAAAATTTGGACTGGGTTGAGTTCTTGGGTATGTTCCTGGACATGCAGAAGCCCTCGCACTTGCGTGAGGTTGAGCAGTTTCATGTCGATGGTCGTACCATCTGCTTTGAGCAGGGTAGTCCGCTGGAGGGAACTCCGTGCGAATGGACTTTGGATGCCCAGGTCTATTTCTCGCCTATCGGGCTGACCACCGAGCGCCCGTTGCGTGTGGAGCGCAAGCACTATTCAGTGTGCCTCAACGTCAGCTTCCCAAAGCTGCGTTGCCCTGATGATAGGTGCAGGTCTCAGATGCTTGACGGCTATCTTTATTGCCCCCGCTGCCAGCGGAAGTTGTTCAATCCGAGCGACATCTCCCACATTGCGGAGCTGGCTGATCTGCGGGCGGAAGCCGCGCAAGGTGGAGCTAACCACAGTCTCCACTATCTGGCACCGAGAGCGGCTATCAACACTCGTCCACACGAGCACACCCGTCAGGGGGCCGATGTGAAGAAAAGCATCGCTGCAACACTCAAGGAGAAGTGCAAGAAGATGGTGGCGAAAGCAGCAGAAGGGACGCATGGTTCCCTGCGCCAGAACTTGAAGTACGAACCCTTCAGCGCCTTCAATGTGTTTTCGAAGGGGATGACGGTGACTTCACTCGACGAAGTCGAGATGTTCGCGCGTTTGCGACTTCCCGCCCCGGGAACGGGGACGGAGGCAAAGAGGGGCTTTGCCGGATCTCACACGTCCGACGCTCGCACTGCCCTCATTTTCCCTCCCGTCGACGACATGATTCGCGGTGAGTACAATTACCAGAGGAACATCTTTCTTGAGCTGGCCAAACACTGCTATTTCTGTTTCCAAGACCGCTTTTACTTGGTCCCCGAAATTGCTGTGTTGATCCGCGCCACTCAGTTGGCCTCTGAGGTTCGCAATCTGCGTCCGTTCACAATCCTCCGCCATGACGGCGTCGAGTACCAGCCCGTGACCGGGACTGTCCCTGAGATTATGGCCGACCTCGTCGGTTTGCTCCGCAACAATGCACAGCACGCTCTCACCCACAAGGAGCGCAACCAGCAAAGGGTTACTGTGCAAGTCGGAATCGGGCAGACTCCCTTGGAGATTCCAGCATCGCTGGGAACTATGGGCAGGTCACAGATGCTTGAGCTTCTTGGCGGTACGCGGTTCAGTGTTGAGCGTACCCGCGGTTGGATTAATCGTGAGGTGGAAGACCGCATGGTCCGGCACGGTGCCACTCCCATTGGCGCCATGCGTGTGCCGCCACCGCCACCGACACCATCCGGAAGGACTGGTCCTGATACGTCGCTGCCTGCAGCAACACCCAGTGTTCGGCCTCCACCGGCTCCCCCGAGCCGAGGTCGCTCACCTGGCGGCGCAGCTTCATCTTCCACGGATCGTCCGATGAGCACTTCTGTCCCAAAAGCTGCAAAGACCAAGGCAAGGCCGGCATCTGCCCGAAGCATTACGCCGCCTCCTCCTAAGCCAAGTGCCAACAGGCCAGTGCAGCCGCCTTACCCACCTGCTGCAAAAGCTGTTCCGAAGGCTGACGCCGTTCGCGCACCTGAGGAATACATCACTGCTGATGAGTGGGACAACTACTTTGCCGGCCGTGGCGAGGTCAGAGGCTTTGCTGTTGGTGATGCACCTGCACCGGTTGCAGCCCCTGCAGGGCCACCTGCCTCAGCCGCCGGAGGGCGTGCTCGCACTCGCTCACCACGCCGCCACGACTATGGTGGGGGCCGAGATTACCAAGAGGCTGCCAACGACAGGTTGCGCCACTTGCGCCTGCTCGAGCACCTGGCGGTCACTCTCCCAGGCTTCCCAGCTGACCGCTTGAGGAACTGGACTGACCAGGACGGGAACGGATTTGATCCAACCCAACCAATGCCTCGCAATTGCACCCGCACAGATGCTTGGTATTGGGGAGTTCTCCGTGCCCGCTACCTTGAAGAGCTGTCGCCCAACGAAGTGCCTTTTGTTATTCCCGCTTACACCGACCGGGAGGTTTTGGTTCAGCATCCTGTCGAGCAGATCACCTGGTTCCTGCGTGGCTGGGAGGAGTTTCGCCAAGACTCCAATGGAGCATGGTACAGGGCATACTAGCCTACTGCATCCGACACCGGAAGGTGCTCCGCGTCCTGAGGGCACCGTGTCGAGAGATGCATGAAGTCGCACGCAACAGCGACTCAGTTTAAATTTCGTTTTTCTGCAGCTCACCGCACTGACGTGCTGGTTCATACACACCAGCCTTCGCATCGGCACGCCTGTGCATCACCGCCCTGACGGGTTGGTTTGCTGATCCGCTTAGTGGAGTGATTTGAGCTAGCATCGCAGAGTTCTTTCAAGACCTCGCAAAGCGAGTGTCGCCATGACGTAGCGTAGTTTCTTTTGTACGCCTCCTCCGCTGCGCTTCAATGCGCGGGGGGTGATTTTACAGTATTCATACTTATGTCACAGTCATTACCTACGCTACTGTCGTTGGCTCAAGTACAAAAAGGATTGCGTGCTTTCCGCTGTTAACAATAATGATGATGATGATGATGAATGATTATGGTGATCATGATGGTGGTGGTGATGATGATGACGACGGGGACGGTGGTGATGACATGACGATGCGGGTTTAGAACCTTCAGCCCTAAACCCTAAACCATGCAGTGCAGGCCTCGTCCTTGCTACGTAGGAGAAAAAACCAAGCATGTTCTTGATTTTGATCATCACGATGTTTGAATCGGAGAGGCATCGGAGGAGATCCTCGCCCTTCAGGAGAAGGTGGCCCCCAAGCTGCAAGAATGACAGCTAACGGTTTATTTGGGGTTTAGGGTTAAGGGTTTTGGGGAATAATAATAAGGGCCACGGCTTCGGGGCTTGATTGAAATGGGGTTGCATGAATCCATGGAGGCTCCGTTCTCACGGGCAAAGTGCTCGAGCTCCAAGCCCCGGCTCCTTTCCACTTGGCAGGGTCCAGGTGTGACGGTACTGCCAATACATGGAAAATGAACTAGAGTTTGAAAAATGATTTGGAGGGATGAGGGGGGCTGGCAAATGGAGTTTGCCAGTAAGTGTTCTCGAGGCGGGTTCTCGAGGCATAATGCAGAATTCGTAGAGGGCCAGTGCTGGAATGTAAAGGTTCAGAGGCTTGGGTTGTGAAGTTGCCACGCCCGCCGTCGGGAGCGTTGAGGGCTGAACAATCATACAATACAACATAATATGAAAGTCAGAGAACAGACCAGAACTGGCTAGAGTATCGTACAATGCAGTACATGACAGTGTAAATGCCACAATACAATGCGATAGTATGTATATATTTATATGCATAGTATAGGTAATTTCATATAGCTGGATACAGTACAACGTAATGTCGTATAATATAGCACAAAATAACATAGCATAGTATAATGTAGAATCAAGCAGTACTGCATAATGCTGCAGCAGGGTAACATAACATAGTATAATGGAAAATGCTACAATGCAGATCGTAGAATGTATTTGTGTAATCTACTAGAACGGTGTAATCTGGTATAGCGGTAGAACATGCCACATAACATTTTAAAATATCTAAAGTTTAGTGTAACGTGATATAATGAAGTATCATATGCTACAGTGTAATGTAATGTAATATGCTTCTTTAATACCAATCTTGCACAACATGGTATAATCCTGCGCTACAAAGTTTACTATATTACAGCAGGTGTGCAACATGGCAAGGTCTCAGTTTTGATTGCTCGGGCAGGGCGGGGCGAAAGGGTGCCAGGACTAAGGTGTCAGATTGAGGGTGCTGCACGCTGAAACCTTAAATCGCGAATACGCCGTAAACCCTGAACGGCCAACGAACCACATGCCTCGCCTGGATTGTCCGAGTGTGAGCACCGAAACGGCCAACTCCTAAACCCTGCGTTGAAACCTCACACCTACTTGGAGGTTCATGGGCAGTTATAAGTGGGGTTATAAGGAGGGTAGCTACATTTACAACCCATATCAGGGACTTATAACTCCACTTATAGCTACCCATGAGCCTCCAAGTAGACGGCCTGACAAGGTCCAGGGCGACAGAGTGAAATTCAAGATGGGCCCGGGGACTTGGAATGCCTGGGTGTCGGGGATCTGATATCCCTAGAGACCCTAAACCCTGAAGCCAATGTCCTGTAGCCAATGTGCTTGGTCGTTCTGGTACTCGGATCCTCGCCTGCTTGTCTAGTTCTGAGTGCTGAAACCCTAAAACCCTTGTTTTGTGCTTCAAAGGGATTACGGGGTGCGGGGTTTAGGGCTCGAGGGCCGCAGTGCTTCACGGCGACGGCTGTTCCGGGCGAGAGAAATCTGCTTCAAAAGCGTTGGAGGGTTTCGTGTGCAAGGATCTGGCTAGTCCTCAGCCCAGTTGCAAAACAGGGTCCGAGGCTTTTTGGTGCTTGTAGGGAGAGAGGGTGAGGGCTGAGGGCAGGAAGAGCCGAAAGGTAAGCGTGGGGAGTACACAAACACCAACAGCCATGTTCGTTTAAAGAAAGACATCACAGAGCTTCAACGCCGGGATACTGTGGAGGCTTCCGCCTGCTGCCACAGAGTCCCTAAACTGATCATAAACCTTCGGCCCTCAGCCCGAAGTTCTAGTTCTGGAACCCGAAACTCTGAAAGATTCCTCTGGTACTTCCCAGAGGCTGCCCGAACTCCGACAGCTCTGAAGGTCGAAGGGAGTCCTGCAAACCGCAGGGTTTAGGGTTTAAGGTTTAGGGTTTAGGGTTTAGGGTACCCTGGATCCCCTGAACCTTAAACACATTTAGGGTTTGCCATCTCAAGCCGAAGCTCTAAACTCAAAGCCCTGAGCTTGCACCCCCCAAAACCGCAGCCCTACTTCCTCATCCCACCCCACATGCCCACCCTTCCAACCCTCAAGGCATTATAGCAACCTTGAACACAAAGTTTACCGAACCCAAATTCTGGAGGGAAAAAACCCTAACAAACCCCCAAGAGAACGTTCATAGATCCCTTACAGTAATCCTTCTAGGAGCCCTAAAGCCGGAACCCTAAGCCCGAAAAAAATACAAGCCTCGAAATTGTCCGAGCTGAGGCTTGCACACGGGCGACATCGTGGCCGGGGTCATTGGCTCAAAGCTTCCCCGCAGCGCGGCCGCAAGACCCTAATCCAGGGTTTCAGGTATAGTTTGTAGGTGTTTTTTTCGTCATTTTCCGCAGCATTTCGGGTTTAGGCCATGAGGGCTTCGGGTTTCCCCATATCCTAAACTCCAGGGTTTGGGGAGCTTCGGGATTCGGCAGTTCAGGGTTGTCGTTGGAGGCGGCTTCTGGAACCTGAGCCTCGGTTCAGAGCTTCACGGGGCATGTGCAGATGGCGCATATCACCCTGGGTTAACGGTTTAGGGTTAACGGTTTAGGGTTTAGGGTTTAGGATTTAGGGTTTAGGGTTTAGGGGTTATGCTTTAGGATTCCTTCAAGTTGTGGAATCAGAAGCTATACTTGCTAAGCTCCCCTTGGTCTCTCAGTTCCAAAGCCCCAAATCCCTTTGGTCTCTCGGTAAGGGGTCGGGGTTCACCGTTCTGATGATGTTGGGCTTCGGATGCCGGGTTTGAAGATGTAGGGCTCCATGGTCCGTGTCTCGGTGTTTTCGAGAAACCTACAAGGTCCTGATTCTGGGCCCCCTACCCCCCTCCCCCTACCCCCTAAGGGTCCCTATGAAGGAGTCCCAGCTGCGAAAAAAAGGGCTGTTGTTGGATGTTTTCAGCGTTTGTTTCCATCTAGGGCCCGTAGGTTTGGAGTGGAGGATTTTTTGGGGGCTTGTATAGAGGCTTAAGAGATTGTAAGACTGTTTTGGAGTTCCTTGTTGACAAGGCATTGTATAATACACGCAAAAAGCTATTCTAGCCATAAATTAAGCCCCGATTTTAGGGATTTGAGGACCGAGGGCTTCGGCTTGGCTGTTCGTCCACAAGCCTCCCCCTTCACTGCAGCCTTGCTTGCATGGTCAATGTCTTTCGTATGCCCTGCACAGGAACTGCATTGATCAGAGTCGACCCAACAACAAGCCAACGCCCGAACTCCGAGAACCAACACACCAGAAACCCACAACGCCGCGGCTTGAAAACGTTCCGTTGTTCGGGCACTTGCAACAAAACCTACTACAGAGGCCTTAACTAGTACCTACATCATTGTGGGGTTCCTTATTCTAACTATAGTATAGTATACCCCCAGGCCCTATTCTAAATTATTGAGGCCCCTATAGTAATGTTTAGCCCCGACGAGCGAAAAGCTGGTTATCCCTAAAGCCGCCCCCGGAATCCCAAGGCTTCCGGCTCTTCGGCAACACCATCAACACGGCAGCATTCGCCCAAGATCTCCTTTAGGGTATAGGGTTTAGGGTTTACATAGGGTTCCTTTAAAGGGGTCTATATTGGTTAGGGATCTATAAGGGTACTATGCTTTAGGGGCCTGAATGATTGCCACTACAATTTTGGGCCGGGGGTTCCTTATCATACTTAAAGTATACTGGGCCCCCAAACTTTTTTTAATTATTTATGACGTAAGGCCCCTATATTAGGGTTTATGGCCTCCGAGGTTGCGCTGAGTGCTAGCAGACCAAACTGAAGTTTCAGGGCAAATCATGTGTCGCTGTGAGATGCTCAAAGTTATTTATGTGGGTGGCGTGGGACAAAGTGCCGTCAATTGCCGACATGCAGACGGGGGTATAGGCATGCATGTGGATTAGATATGCATGTATATGAAATGGAGCCAAAGCGTGGGATTAGTTCGGTCAGGGGCGGTTGAAGCTACCGCGACCAAGATGGTACTGTGCGGGACACCCGAAAAACAGCAGGACGCCATGCCCTAATTCCAGGGCATGTCCGGCATGAAGAAGTAGAATGTTGAAGCGGCCACCACATATGTGCGCACGTACACGTTTACATGTATTTATGTATGTATATGTAAGTACGTATGTATGTAAGGTATGTAGGCATTCCGTACGAACGACTATATGTGTATATATATATATATATATATAAACATCCAACAGAGCTGGCAGATACGTTTCTGTGTTCATTCATACATACACTCTTTCATTCATTTCTTCCTTCCTCGATTCCGTCATTCCTGACATGTACGGAATAAGGCTTCTGATATGAAAGTGCACACACAGACGGACGGACAGAAGGACGTTCAGAATGACAGAGAGACAGCCAGAGAGACAGAGAGACAGACAGAGAGACAGACAGAGAGACAGACAGAGAGACAGACAGAGAGACCGACAGAGAGACAGACAGAGAGACAGACAGAGAGACATACAGAGAGACAGACAGAGGGACAGACAGAGAGACAGACAGAGAGATTGACAGAGAGACAGACAGAGAGACAGACAGACAGCACAGAGACAGACACAGAGACAGACGGAGAGACAGACAGAGAGACAGACAGAGAGAAAGACATACGCACAGACGCACATACACACAGACACTGACACATAGACACACAGACGCACAGACGCACAACCACATAGACACATGGACACGCAGACACACAGACACGTGGATACACATTATTATATACCTGTATGTACGTACAAGGGATATGCAGCAAGATGTGCTAGTTACGCACATATATGTGTCAACCTCAGGTAGTTTGTAATCTTCTTTATACAAACACAAAGGCAAATACATACAGGTACATATATACACACGGCTGTACATAATCTCAGTTATGTACATGTTTCTGCGATTTTCTATGTGTATGCGAGGCTAGTATGTATTCGCAAACAAAAGAGAATCCTGTATCTGGCAAATATCACACGCATGCCGTATATGTCCATGATGGCTCAAAGCCGAAATCATGAGATAGAGTATTGTGCTTCTCGTTGTGTGCCGGCAGGTTGCGACTTAGTTTTGCCCACAGCCCCCAACTACGCGCATCAAGGCAAGTGCTTCTGCAAACAAGACTAATATCATATAATACTGCCTACACCCTCGCGTAGTCTTGCCTAGGAATTCACTCGGAGCATAGTACCATCCAGTGAAGTGCTGCTTGCATCCTGGGCACCTAACTCTATTGAAAGAAGGATCTGAGAGTGATATGCACGATAGAGCGTGTCTCTCATCTCTCCGCGGGCTCCTCGTTCAAAAATCATTTAGAGCAAGATGCCGTTGCCCAGTACAGGCTACATTCTCTCGGCGCAGATCTGCAAAAGTACATCATAGCAAGATCCCTGAGAAGCATGGTCTGGAATTTCCGAACTGACAGTAAACGCACTACAACACAGCAAGCAGCAGTTGGTATGATGCTACCCAGTATGCTCAATGCTTCAGCCTGCTAATTTTGCGGGCTTGGAAACACATCAACGAGCTCTGCGAAGTTTCCGCCTACGAGAAGTTCTTACCGGCAACAGTCGCCATGCTTGAACCCTATTTTCTGCTTCAGGGACTTCTCTCTCTCTCTGTCTCTCTCTCTCTCTCTCTCTCTCTCTCTTTTTCTCTCTCTGAATGAATGAACGAATATCGAGTAAACGGAGTTTTCACATTAGGACATGGAGTTGCAAGCTGACCCAGTTGCTGTCTTCACAGGCATGGATATGAATAAACACATATACATACATATACATATATATATATATATATATGTACGCTTATGTATGTAGGTGTATGTGTATATATATATACATCTTTATATATATATATATACACACACACACACACACCTGAAATGCACACATACATGAACGACAGCTACAGCATGTGCGCAAGCTGCTCAGGCGAGGATGATGCAGAAAGGCCTGCGGCCTATACCGCAGCCACAAGATGTAGCTTTGTGGATCACTTTGGCGGATTGATCCAGGTTTTACAGGTTCTACAGGCCATTGACACCTTACGACTCGGCATTGTCACGACTGCGCCGTGGCTGCCACCACCATTTCCACCTCCACACCAGCTATACTATAGTAATACTATGACTGTACTGCAGCAACACTACAGTAAGACTATATAATATAGATACTGCCACAATACTAGAGTAGCACTACAAAAATATTCAAGCCACGTGCCAGTCGATGCCGCCTGCATTGCTGCCACCGACTATGTTGCATTTACTTTTTTGCAGACTACCTGCATTCTAAACTCTGCTGCTTCTGGGGCATTTCTATCGGTTGCTACAACAACAACTACCACTACTACTACTACGACGACTACTACGACGACGACTACTACTACTGCTACTGCTACTGCTACTGCTACTGCTACTGCTACTGCTACTGCTACTGCTACTACTACTACGACGACGACTACTACTACTACGACCACGACCACGACTACTCCCATCCCTACCCCTACTCCTTCCCATACTCGTCTTCCTACTCCGACCGCTAGTGCTCCTGCTCCTGCTCCAACTCTCGCTCCTACTTCTCCTACTGCGACTCCTCCTACTCCTACTCCAGTCCATGCCACATTTAGGTTTCGATTGTAAGACGACCACTACATTCCCCGACACTGCCTCCGACGTCATGTTCATTTCCATGGTTGTCATTACCATACCCAGTGTGACGATGGCGCAGTTTGTCGTGGTGATGCTGATGGTGCTGCTGCTGGTTGTTCCGATGACTAGTCTGAGCTCATGCACGTCAGATGGACAGGAGAGCCGGGCACCGTGCAGTTCGGGTTGGAGACGCGGAAATGGGCCACCAGGGCTGCAATGGATTTGCTGTGGGGCGGAATTCTGCCGGGGTTAAAGTTCGTCAAAGCCCTCCGGATGTGCTGTGGGGTCGTCCTGAGGCCGGGGCTATGGCTATGCTTCAGTGCAAATCCCCGGGGGCAAAAACAAAAGCTTCAGATTCCGTGATCGAGACAGCAATGGGGATACAGTGGATCCAGGGAGACATATTGCCGTGGCAAAACCCAAGCCTTTCAACCAGAAAAGCAGGGCCCGAAACGCGCTCAGACCTAAATCCTCTCGTCGGTGCATTGAAATCCCAGAAGACTCCTCGGTTTTCAGGTTCGCGACGAGTTGGCACCTTGGCGGCAGTTGGGATCTTGAGATCCAACATTGACGAGCTAAATCAACACGTCTTGTCTGGAGGGTTTCGAGGGCAGAGAGCTTGAATTTTGGGACCAGTCCTCGAACCGGACTTTCGGGGATGCCGGTTTATGTCGCGTGTCTGCAGTGTCGTCTGAAGAGGCTCAGGTCTCCGGAAAGGCCTTCGGGACGGGCGGCTGCTGTGGCTCAAACCACGATGCACAGACGGTTGCAAGTGCAGCGGCAAGAACGCTTCAGAGCTGGCTAACTAAGCATTTAGGTGCTCGTACTTGTCGGCTAGTGCTGGTGCCTGCGGTAATGCTGCGGGTCCTCCTCGCCACATGGCATGTTCTGCCCTCGGGTGGTGATGGCCCGCTGGTCACTTCGACATCCTCGACGACACCTCCCACGATCAATGGCACCTGCAACCCTGCACTTGGACATCGCTACATCTCCATAGGGTCTGCTGGAGGGATCTCTTCTTCTTCCTGTTCTGCCAGCTGGGATTTGCACGAGGTCGAGGCCTTCAAAAGCAGCGGTCATCGGCTGACGCTGTCCGCGTCGTCAATGTCGGGCTCAGACGACGGCTACCCACCTAGTAAGGCCGTGGATGGTGATACGTCCACATTCTGGGCAGGCGATCACGACGTCGGAATGAGTTGCAGCTGCTGGGATGACTCGAAGAAAGATGGCCAGATCCTCACAATCGACCTTGGCAGCAATCAGCAGGTCACACAGCTGAATTTGTACCAGGGAGGTCAAGGCAACGATTGGGCGGTGAAGCGGGTGAGGTTGCATTGCCATGAATCGGCAGCCTTCTCGTCAGCCTTGGTTGAACCTCTTGAGATAGATGTGTCGGCGGGCGTGACATTCATCGTGTGCACTGACCAGGGTTGTAAGACCACTCTAAATCCAGAATACTACGATACCTGCAAGGGCGTCGGTGCCAAGCTGGCCGGTGGCCTTGCAGCCGTCCTGGCTGGGCTTCTACTGCTTTGATTTCAATCGTCCTTCAACTCACGGCAGCACAACAGAACGTGGCTCCGGTTCCGTCAGCAAGGTTCAACCGTCGTAAGAGCCCCAAAGCTCAGAGACGCTGCCGAAGTAAGCTCGCAGGCGGAGGTCTCTGTGACGTCGGCGGTTCCCTAGAGGCCTTGCCAATCCTCTTCAGAGTTGCCTTTCGTTTGCCTCTGGTCCTCACGGAGACGCGCCGCCCTTGCCGCCGAAGGCAGCATCGACTCAAAACAGGATCTGTGCGAAATGATGTTGTGTTGAATTCAAGCAACAAGGCATGCACGCATCTGTGCATGTACCTATGTATCCCTGTGAAGGGAGATAGGTAGGTGGGTATGGAGGTAATAAAGACTGTATGACTGTATGACCGTGTGCTTGCATGTTTGTCTGTCTGCCTGCCTGCCCGCGTGCCAGCCTGGCCCGTCTGTTGGTAGGCAGGTCGGTATGTACCCATGGTCGTGTGTCGGCCTGCCCGCCAGTGGGTAGATAGGTAGGTAGGTAGGCCGGTATGACTGTATGATGTATGGCCGTCTGGTAATGTGACTGTTTGTCTGTCCTGCCTGCCTGCCTGCCTGCATGCATTCATGCATGTATGTATGTATACATGCAAGCGCATATGTAGCAATGCTTGAATGTGTGTCACACCTTGTGCAAAGCAAGTATGTATGCACATGCGGTATGTTCTGTATGTCATGTCAGTTATGTGTGCTACGTATGTTATGTCTGTTCGATGTATGTTATGTAAGTTGTCATGCATGGGATAAATCACATGCATGGTTTGCATGGTATGACCGTTATGCCTGTTATGTCTGGTACGCAGGTATGTCGGTTATGCAGTCATGTCTCTGAGGCTTGTTATGTTATGTGTGGTTTATGTACGTCACATATGCAACGCACCAAAAATGTCTCATGTGTCTGTGTGCGCGCCAATGAATGAACGGATGTGTGAACGTATGCTTTGATGTATGCCAGCATGTATGTATGTATGTATTTATGTCTTTATGTAGATATGTGTGGAATGATGCATTTTCGTACGTATGTATGTATTTATGTCTGTCTGTCTGTATGGTTGTATGTATGCATGACTATTCATGTATGTGTGGGTATGTATGTGTGCGTGTATGTAGATGTTTGTATGTATGTGTGTCTATCGTCGATGTGTATATATGTGTATGTATACGTCTACGCCTACGCATACTCACATGTATAAGTCTTTGTATGCGTACATGTACATGTTTCGCGACTGCACCCGGCGAACCGCCTGTCCAAAGCCTGAAGAACTCGCTCAGTTTAACAAAGCATTCATCGGCTCGGGTGCAGGGTGTGTTCCGCCGGCCTCATGCACCCCACCAGAGCGGGACGCTTTCCGTGACCTGTGGCTCAAGGTCACGACACTGGGGTGTGAAGTGCTAGTCCTGGTGTCACTCCAAAGGATTGAGTCCTTAAAGGTGATGCTGCTGTCGATCCTCCTTGCTTCATGTGTACTGCGCTCTGGGGGTGATGGCCCGCTGGTAACATCTACATCCACGCCGACAAATGCAGTTTCGGACTCAAACCCGAACATCTGCAACCCTGCACTTGGACATCGCTACATCTCCATAGGTTCTGCTGGAGGGATCTCTTCTTCTTCCTGTTATGCTAGCTGGGATGTGCATGAGGTGGAGGCTTTCACAAGCAGCGGTCAGCTGACGCTGTCCGCGTCCTCAATGTCGGGCTCAGACGACGGCTACCCGCCTAGTAAGGCCGTGGATGGTGATACGTCCACATTCTGGGCAGGCGATCACGACGTCGGAATGAGTTGCAGCTGCTGGGATGACTCGAAGAAAGATGGCCAGATCCTCACAATCGACCTTGGCAGCAATCAGCAGGTCACACAGCTGAAGCTGCACCAAGGAGGCCAAGGCAATGATTGGGCGGTGAAGAGCGTGAGGTTGCATTGCCATGAATCTGTGGCCTTCTCATCAGCCTTGGTTGAACCTCTTGAGATAGAGGTTTCGACGGGCGTGACAACCATCGAGTGCAGCGACCAGGGCTGTACGACCGACCTCCAGCCGGCGTATTACGACACCTGCGCTGGCACTGCCGGCGCCGGCGCCCGACTGGCCGTGGGTCTTGCAGCAGCCTTTTCCGGCATTCTGCTGCTCTGATGTCTAACAAAGAATAGTATATCATAGTATGTCATACTGTATTATCGTTTATGGTCATAGTATATGATCTCCTGTTGAGGACCATCATGGGCTTCTTCTAGTCGATGCCTTGTAGGTTTCACTCAGCACCGTGCAGCGCGCATCTGGCTCCACAGCCGTTTTTCATCCCCGGAGGAGGCTCGGAGGTGGACTGCTTACCTTCGGTTAGTAGGGAATGGAAGCATGGTAGTAATAATAGTTAGAATTGTACCCCATTCCTCCATGCCCTACTAACCAAAGCTAAGAGGGAGGTCTTTGCAAGCTTTCACTTGGGTTTGAGGTTAGTTTAGGATTCTATTACTAATTGTTAATGACTATTACCAGCTTATGACAATTATTATCACTATGACTACTATGACTACTATGACTACTACGATCGCTACGTGCGATTTCGAGGCTGAACGAAACAGAACAGCCTTGCCGAGCCTCTTCAGGGTTGCCTTTCGCTTGCCGCCGAAGGCGGCCACGTCGACTCAATCTCTGGCAATTCCCTGGGCTCCGAGTGTGTGAGAAATTATCTGGGCTCCGAGTGTCTAACGAGTGTAAGAGTCAGCACAGTCAGCATAATTTTTCCACGATCCCCTTACAGTCCCCAGGAGGTGTACACGTACATGTACTGTAGCTCTTATACCCGATCGAGCAATAGGTAAGTAGATGCGCAGGTACACAAACGAACAAGCGAATACTTTGAATGAATCTTCAAGTAAGATGAACCAACAGATGAGTGGCTAAACAAACGCATGAACGAAGAGGCAAATGCGCGGATACTTAAGATACATGGAGTAACAAGAAACGAACGAAGAAGCGATTAAAGCATAGTAGTAGCGCATGTAAGCCGGCTTCTGCTCAGAGTACTACAGGTAGTCGTTGTTCCACATGTTCTTACCAATGCTTCTACGGTTGATGATATAAATCCTGCATGACCCATAACAAGGAATATACCATAAATCCCATAGTTTAGGGTCCTTAAGGTAATGCAGGATTTATATCATCAACAGTAGTACTCTACCGCGGCCCGAGGGTTCAACACCCCACCCCTAAACCCTAGACCCTGAACCCCGCGCTTAGCGAAAGCTCCCATCCGAGGTGAAGGAGAGGGGGGAGGTGGAGATGAAGGGCAAAGGCAAGGTCCAGTGTTTCGCATCTTGGGCCGAAGGTTTCTGGTGTTTCAGCTGCTTAAGGCTCATGTGGTTGGGCTCGGAGGGGCTTGAGAAGGCTCGGAGTTTGGCTGCGCACTTATTATTTTGGGGGCTTCTTGTTGTAATTACAGTATAATGGGCCCCAGAACCCTATTCTAAGTGTTAATGCCCTTGTATTAATCATGACTTGAATGCCGAGCGCTGCGAAAGCCTCCAAACCTTAAGAAAGGAAAGCAGTCCGAAAGCTCCAAGAGACTTTCCACGGGCCACACGTTGAGTTGCGCCAAACAAGATAGCCTAGCACGCTTAGCAAAAAAAGGAGTTCAGATACGGTGGACTATGTGGAGCCTTGCCTACCTTCTGCGAGTGTGAGCGTCGAAACCGCCAAAACCCGGTATCCGAAACCCTAACCCGGTGTTAGGGGTATAGTCGTTCCGAAGTCGTACATTGTGAGATTGGCATCCTGGCCAGGGTGCCCTTCAAACGGATAGTCTCTCGTTGGTGAAGCTTTTGTAGTTAACCCAACACGGCAGCCATTCTTGTCGACCGCATGAGACGCTTGCCGAGGTACTCAAACCAAAGGAAGAGAGGCACGCTGCCGAAACAGGATTCCGGTTGAAGGGACAAGGGCTTCTCATAGATCCAGGGTGTCGTAGGATCCCTGAGCTCCGAATTATGCTTTTAAGACTTGTGGGGTTCTTAGCAGAAAAATGGGGGAATGGGTTATGGGGACTACTATTGGGGACCATTGGGGACTATATAGGGGCTAATACAGGGATCCATTCCCCCATTCCCTACTAAGCACCAGGGGGTGGGTTTGCGTCGTATTTGGCCTTAACTCAGGGGTACTTAGAAATAGTTTTTAATTTTTGGTTCTTATAACCCCCAAGAAACAGCTAAATTTTAATTTTTGCTAGGGTTCTAAGTTCAGTATAGTTAAAGCAAAAAGCCTGCTGAAGAACTGGGCCGACTCAGTCGCTTTGTGCCATTGGCCTGTGCCACTGAGGCCTTAATCTGGATTCGATCCCTTGATATTGTTCAATACAGTGAAGTAGGGAGTAGAATTTCAGTATGATATAGCATATTCTTGTATAGTCTCGTATGGTTTACTATAGCACAGCTTAGTATAGCACGGCGTAGTATCGTATGGGAAAGCATAGTCTGGTAAAGTACTGAGCACAGCATAGTACAGTCTAGCATAGTATAGACTAGGACAGCATAGCATAGTACCGTACAGTCTAGTTTAGTCTAGCCGAGTCTAATCTTGGCATAGCAGAACCCAGCGCAGAACCCTGAAAGTCGTGCAAACAGGGATCCTGTGGCAGAAACGCTTGAAGGTTCATGGGCATATAAAAGTGGTTATAAGTAGGGTAGCTATACTTCTAACTCATATTAGGGGGCTCATAACCCCACTCATATTACAACTACCCATGAACCTCCTTCCTTGGGGCAGGTTTGGCTCGACGCAGGACTTGGGGGTGTCAGTCAGTAGTTGTAGGAACCTGACTAAGAGACCCTGGGCCTACAACCCCAATACAGTAGGATTCATATAAGGAACCCTAATAAAGGCCCAAGGTCTCTTAATCAGGTTCCTACATTAGATCATTTAGATCACTTTCCGTTCCCTGGTAAAGAGTTGAAGCTCACTCTTAAATTTCTCCGGCGTGATGGGTCCGGCCTGCTGCCGGCACTGTGTTGGACGGGTGTCTCAGGCTTTACGGTTTGGTGTCTTTGCGGTTGCAGGAGGCTCGGTCAACGGCCCCGAAAGCTAGTGTCTTCCCTTGGGACGTGACTTGGTCAGCGAGGAGTACGGGAAAAGACGGATGCTTCCAGGCCGTATTCAACTATATGATTACTGCAGTACTTTTACTACTATACTTCTACTATTATTATCATCATTGTTACTATTATGGTTACTTTATCGCTAGTGTTAGTGTTGTTGTTATCATTGTTAGTACTCTCGTTGTCGTTATTACTATTATAATCATTATTATTATTAGTAGTAATATTGTTATGATTATTGTTATCTTTATTGGTTTAGGTTTCGTGGAATCCTGTGATTCTCCGACGGCAGGAGGCAGATGCGAAGAAGCCGTCATCTTCGCGAAGGCCAGCCCCTGAGTTCTGTGAGCTACTCTAGGGGTCTGAAAAACTATATGGTTCCCTTCAAAGGGATCCTTAAAGGGCTCTATAGTGGGAGAGCATAAAGGGCTCTGTAGTAGGGTTCTATCATGTAGGGGCCTTAATGATTAGAACGGGATCTTGGGGGCTCCTTAGTATGAGTATAGCATAATGGGCCCCAAAATCCGATTCCAATTATTAAGGCCCATATATGCCTCAGACAAAAGGTGTCCCAGTTCTTCCTTCGATTAGGACTTGCAGCCGAAAAAGCGTAGGATGCCTGAGCCTCGCGGTCCTAGATGAGCATGGGGAAAACAATTCCCAGACGCTTTCGGAAATCGAGTGCCGCACCATGCACACGAGAGCTTTTGCAGAAGGTGTTCCCTGCAGCAGGACGCAGAAGCTCAAGTATCACACCTATTTCGCACCGCCATAGCAAGCAACCGTTGTGCCGTGAGCGTTTATGTTGTGGCTTTCTGGATCTTTTCTGGACAATCAGAAATCCGACCGTGTTGAAGAGCAGCTCCGAAGTCCAGCAACTTGTGAACTTGTTCTTACTAGCTGAGTAGGTGACCCGTAACCTTTTAGGAGTACGTATAATCCTACCATAGCTGAAACGGTTAATCTATGTTGGGCTGGGATACTCAGCCCCCCAGTGTTTGTGTCTCCAGAGTTTAGGACTTAGGTGTCTCAGCCTCGCCTGGTCTAGCCGACAGTGCCGAAGCCGTGAATCATCCGCACCCCTCAGCTTGAAACTCGACTTTGCCCAGAGGGCCCAATACCCCTTAACTAAGGAATATAGCTTAAATCCATCATATGAACCCCCTTATAGTTTAAGGTATGTTCCTTAATTAAGGGGTATTGGGCTCTCTGGGTGCAGCCAGGTCCTCAGTCTCGCAGATCTTGCAGGGCGAGCAGGCGGAAGAGCACAAGAGCAGATATTGACCTCCGTCTTCCTAAACCTTTCCCCAAGCCAGTATGACCCGGGAGAGATCACCCGACAAATATGCTAAACCCTAAACAAGGTTTTCGTTGGCGGCGGGGGGGGGGGATTGTTTGTATTCTGGTGCTTCCTCCCTGCACCTCAAACGATTCCGAGCCTTCAGGAACCGTTTACTTCCATCCCTGGTCACGAGCCATTTGTAGACTCCGGCAGCCGTATCTGGCATAGAACCTCTCGTAGTCCATACATCTAAACATGCACACACACACACAGTTTCTATAATATTTCCCCACACCCTAAGTGCTGAATCATTTATAACCCTAAACCCTAAACCCTTAAAGCCAGCCATGTTGGCTCAAGCTGTCTTTCAACTTTTCAAGCCTTCAAGCTGGAGAACTCTCACTCAGGAGTATGGCAAGCCACGCAGAGATGATTGCCTTGTGCGCCGAACCTCTCCGGAGTCGAGGATCGGTGTGCTTCAAAGCTGTTCCGGCAGCTCTTCGTACAAGCCTGGATGGGGAGTCCTTTGTGTGCAGGGCCGAAAGCGTTTCCTAAGGCTTAAGCCATGACCAAGGAGGAAGTCAGTCGAGCAACCCGACCTGGAGAAGACCAAAAACGAGGCGAACAAGGAATGAACGGCCTAGTTCTGACGCCAGGCCGTGCAACTGCAGGTCCAGCTTCTGATTCCTTTGCGGATGCCACATATCCCTCACCTGTGCTGGTTAGCGGACCTATGTGTGCTAATATCCAGCTTGCGC